GGGTTTCCCCACTACTTACTAATCTGTAGTGCACAATTTCACACGGGTTACCCCACGTCGCTGATGTGAAAAACCGGTGAAACTGCGCACTACAGATTAGTAAGTAAGCACAAGCCTGTGCGTACCTTGCTTATTGGGTAAACTGTCTCTGTGAGCATGCACTGGCAATAAAAATAAAATATTGTGCTACAGCAATATTATGGCTTGACATGCTGTGGATTTATAACTGTGTCACTGCAATTTGCAGTGTGACAAACAGCATTGCAAAGCACTATTCAACTTTGCCATTGTAGTGTGAAAGTCATAACAATACGTAAAAGCATGAGCATGGTTGTGTTCCAAAAAAATCTTTATTTTATGGACATTGAAATATAATTTCATATGTCATGAAATATTATTCTTTTGATTTTTTACCCCAATTATTTAAAAATGTAAAAACCATTCTAGCCTGTAGGGCCATATAAAACACGTGGCAGTTAGGACTTGGTACTTGGGCTGTACTTGCAAACTTGGTGCAGATGGTTAATATGCTCGGCTGCTAACTGAAAGGTTGGAGGCTCGAGCTCACCCAGAGGTGCCTTGGAAGAAATGTCAGGCAAACTGCTTTAGAAAAATCAGCCACTGAAAACCCTATGGAGCATAGTTCTACTGATACACATGGGATCACCATGAGTTAGAATCGACCCGACAGCTACTGGTTACTGGTCTAGACAGTTTTTTTTCTAAATTATGGTTAATACTGCTGTTTTTAACCCTTACATTCATTTCTATTTTCTCCTTTTATGGAATTTATTTAAATAAACAGAGTGATATTTATTTCTTAAATGGAGGATAGCTAACTTCAGCACAGCCTCGAAAGTACTTAACAAAATGCCTGGAACATTGTAAGTGCTCAGTTACTGTTGCTTTACTGTTGACATTCTTATTGAGATTTGCCCCTAATAGCAGTTGTTGTTATTGTGTGCCCTTGAGTTGATTCTGACTCATAGCAACCCTGTAGGACAGGGTAGAACTGCCCCACAGAGTTTCCAAGGAGTCGCTGGTGGATTTGAACTGCTGACCTTTTGGCTAGCAGCCTGAGCTCTTAACCAAGTAGCCACCAGGGCTCCCTAATAGCACTAGGGAGGTGTTTACCATTAAAACACGTTGTAGCTTTTTAAAAAAGAATACAGGACTCAGCCAAAAGCCTTTCAGAAAGGTGGAGTGTTACAGATTATATCTATAGTTTATTATGTGTACTGTGATAGAAGTAAATTGATAAAATAATGAAACTTGCTTTCCGGAAAAGCTTTGCTGGTTATACCCTGGTCTTATTAGCATCTCACCAAGCAAGTTATCAGTGTTAAGCACTTTTTTTTAACAGAAATATTTGTGATCATTAGCCAGTCTGTTAAGTCTCTCACAGTGCATATCTATCAGGCTTTGTTGATTTGAACACATGCAATGTTTCTATTATTTTTTACCGGTATTACTTGAGCTTCCTGCCTAAATTCAAAATAGTTTAATTCATGCATGATTTATGTAGAGACAGAAGGTAAGAGCCATTAAAAGTTTGTCTTTTTGCTCTTTTATTGTACTTTTTTTTCTCTCTTGGGCTTATTTCCACTTTTCTTTATATCATTCAGCTTTAAAGTTCTCAACTTAGCCAACTTGGTCACTTATTAGTTTTTTGGTTTTTTGCTAATCAGAAGGTTGGCAGTTCAAATCTACCAGCCACTCCTTGGAAACCCTATGGGGCAGTTCTACTCTCTCCTATAGGGTCGCTATGAGTCAGAATCGACTTGATGGCAATGGGTTTTTTTTTTTTAATGTATTAATTTAGTTTGAATAGTTTTTTTCATGCCTCATCTGTATAGAATTCCTCCTTATTTTTGTTCTGTATTAGAAAGTATCATCTTTATGATGGTTTGGTATTGTGTAAACAAACTTGGCTAAGGTGGAACCATGTTTCCCAGAATCCTCTTCTTGTGTGTTTCCACGTTAGAGATGGCCAAAGAGAAATTTGTGCAAGATTTGGAAGAAGGAAGCAAAACAGCAGTCATTACTCGCTGAAGGTTGTTGTGGTGAGGGACAGACACATGAGTGCCAGTGGATTCCAGCTTGTCCTCTCTAGTGCCGTGTGCAGCTCTTCTCAAATAGAGGCCCTGTTGAACAACAGTGAACCTAGAACTACCACCAGATGCAGAGTCAACTGCTCTCCCTAAACCTTCCCACCAAGCTATCCTTTGTAGTCCCATTCTGATGGTTGATCAAGCCTGGCTGCAGGACGACTGGTTAGTGACTTTTCTTTGATCCTCTAGCAATCCCTTTTGGAGCCTTACTTCTTCAGCTGCTCCCACAATTTTGTAAGATCTTTTTATTCTAATTCGTTAGTCCATAATACTCTTAGAGGTTCTGTTTTCCTGAGTGAACAATGATTGATACAGTTCTCTAAATGAGGCAAAGTGTCAGCTTATAAACATGTTGTATTTGTATTTATCAGGAGTCCTGGCTGTATCTGTAGTAACAGCAGTTGATTATCTAAAACAAAAAAGACTATTTGAAATTTAACTGAGCTTCCATTTAAATTTCTAGAATAGATAAAAGGCTCTTGTTAGATTAAGTAAAACCTTCTGTCTTTTATTACAGCTCTCAATATAGGAAATTGTCAACTGATCCTAGGTGTTTCAGTGAAAGTAAGAAATTGTTATTTTAATAAGAGCTTTGGTGGAGGATGGGATTGGTGAGAGAGAGAAACACCACCAATAAACAACATTTTAAGATGTAACCCGATTTAAGAATTTTTAAAATGTGATAAACTTGTCAAATTAAAAGATATTTAATATTACTCTTGGACGGTAATATTATTCATTTGTTCATGTAGTAAACAAATATATTTTGATTTTCCTACAATGTGTCAAGCACTGTTCTAGGGGCTGAGAATACATCAATGAACAAAAAGAGGAAATTTCTGCCCTTATATAGCTTACATTTGATTAAATATTACCACCAATATTAGCAACAAACACAAAAGGACAAGATCTGTATTCATTAATTTGTTCTTACTGTGATCATCCTTTGGTACATAAGTGTGGCAGTTCACACATAGGAAGGTAGAAAGAGAGAACTTGATACGTTAACTGGCCACCTAGATCGGAATTCGTAGTTTGAAAATTCTTTTTAAGATACCTGTGTACTATTTCTAAAACAGTTATTAGAGCCGATCAAGATCTAAATAGGGCAAAGGAGGATGCAGTAAGCTAGAGTCCAAAGAAGGCAAAGAGTATTTCAAGGAAGGAATAGTAAAGTCAAATGCTACCAGTAGTCATGTAAAGGAAATCTGGGAAAAGATAATTAGAATTAGTCAGTAGGAAACGATTAATCATTTTTAAAGTAAATATTTTAGAAGCATTCGGTAGAAAGAATCATATAGGTATTAATATGTTTTGGGTTAAGGAAGTAGAAGCAGTTAAAAATTGTGGAGTAGTGGAAAATAAGGTTGGATAGAGATGGTGTGGACAGATTCTAAAAGGACTAAACAGTTTAAGGTCACTTTAGTGGCAGTGTGGAGAATGCATCAAAACATTCTACTGTACCTCTACCACAGATCTTTATGATGAACATCTTGAAGGCAGGCACTATGTCTTTTACCTCTGTATTTCCACTATCTAATATAGTTTCTGGAAGATAACAGGTACTCAGTAATATTCGTTGAATTTTAGGATATTGGAATCCAACAGGTCATGTTGAATCTTTTATCATAATCTCAAATTTATTCTTCTCTGTTCCCACTATAAATATTTTCACTTAGGCTTACTTTAACTCTCAAATTACTGTAATAAACTTGATATCTAGTTTTTCCTTCTGTCATTTCTCATTTCAGTCAACCTGGATGAGGCCACCAAATTAATATTTTTATACCGTGCATTTGATTACATCACTTACTTGCTTTGAAACTTACAAAGCCTTATCGCTACCTATTGAAAAATACATATTTTTTGGCCTTACACCAAAGCCTGTCCACAATCTGGCCTATAACCTACCTTTCAATCCTTATCCTTCACTACTTGTTTATACCTTAGCATCATTAGGCTTATAAAGATTATAAAGCAATGATCCACCAGTCCAGTGTGATTGTCATTGTTGAAATAACACAATCCAGCAACCAAAAGTAATTTTAAAATAACCCAAGTTCTTCAATTACATTTCTCAGATACCATAAAGGAGATTATATAGACTACAGTGATATTTCTAAAAAATCTTTTCTCTCCCATCTACTTCCCTGAGATGCTGAAGCTGCTCTCATGCATTTCCTTCCCTGGACTCTCCAGCACAAAAATTCCATATAAAACCTCTTAACTCCACATGCTTCTCTTTTCCTTCTATTTCCCTTTCTTCCAAATTTTGCATCTCAAAGTCTCTAAGACTTAGTTAAGCCAAGTTGTACCCTTCTCAGAGGAAACGGCAAAAGAATGAGTGTACGCTAGGCTAGACTCATCTTTAGGGGACTGTGAGAAGGGGACATAGTGAAAACACTCAAATGTTTATTTTTGTCTCGTAACAGTCATCTGTATATTATTTGTGCTTTGTATCTCCATAATTGGTTATGCACTTTTTTCTGCGTTTTGGAATTCTGCTTATCTTTGAAGGGCACCTCCTCTGCTAAACACCTTGGCTAGAAGTGATTGCTCCGTTACCTTGTCATGATTTTTTTGGTACCACTTTTAAGGAGTATATTACATGGCTGCCTTGTATTTTATAGTATTATTGTATACATTTCTCCCTTCTCTACTAAATCATGCCATATTTCTCAGTAACCATCAGAGCCTGACTACTCAAAATGTGGCACCCAGGCCAGCAGCATAAGCATCACAGGAGAGCTTATTAGAATGCAGAATTGTGAGTTCTACCCCAGTCTTACTGGATCAGAATCAACATTTTAACAAAATCTCCAAATGATTTATATCCTCATGAAAATTTAGCCTTTGCTGTAATCAGGTGACTTGGTATTTTACATTACATCAACCAAGAGCAGTCTTATAAGATACCAACTGGAAATGGTCAGGTTTTCTAATTTTATTTACTGCAAACTCTTCAAAGCTATAACTTGGTTTTTCTGTTATAATTTGAATACTTCGGTTACCTTGAATACTGTTATCTTCTGCATTACAGGTCTTAGTCATCAAAAATCCAGGACAGGTGTCTTTTTCAAGTTCACTCCTTCTGTCAGTTACTTGTCTGCAGTGTATGGGTTTTTTTTAATTGGAAAAAGGATTAAAAAAGAAAATTATAGGTTAAAAGATGTTATAGATTTGAAAATATCGAATATTTCTAAACTTCTGGGTATTTTAAAAATGTAAAAATAGTCTTGGAACCCTTCAACAATATAGTAATTTAAACACCATATTAATAAAAAACATGAAGGTTGCTTTTAATTTTCCCACCATTAAATATTCTGTAGGACATTTTGAAGAGTAGTGAAATTCAACTTTAATGTACCCTGTTACCCACTGCCGTTCAGTCGATTCCAATTCATAGTGATCCTATAGGACATGGTAGAACTGCCCCATAGGGTTTCTAAGGAGAGGCTGGTGGATTCAAACTATTGACCTTTTGGTTAGGAGCCTGAGCTCTTAACCACTGTGCCACTAGGGCTCAATGTATATTGTATACAAATACAATATTTTACATATACACAGTTTTATGGAACAGTAATCATGGCAACAAAATGTGATGCTCTGAACTTCTGGATATTGCAAAATTAAAATGAATGGTAAAAGTTTCATATTAAATAAGCTTTATTTTCCTATCTTTAAAAGTAATCCACTATAGTGTAGAAAAATCCAAAAAACGCAGAAAAAGAATAATAACATAATCCAGATATCCAGAGTTCTCCTCTGGTTAGTTAGCTCCTATACTTAGTATTATGCGTCTTTTTTAATTATGTACTTTTTGAGATAATACTCTTATAAAATTTTATGTCATCTTCTTTTACTTATTATATGATAGATGGATAATATATTTTTTGTTTAAATTATCATACATTAAAATAGACTTAGTTGTACAGTTCTGTGAGTTTTCTATGAATTTTAACACATGTATGTTGTTGCTAGTTGCCATCAAGTTGGCTCTGACTCATGAGGACCTTGCGTATAACAAAACAGAATGTTGCCTGGTCCTGTGCCAGCTACATGATCATTGGTAGACACCTGTATAGATTCATGCAGTTACCACCACAATCAGAATACCAAACAGTTTCAGCATGCAAAAAAATACACTCATGTATCCTTTATAGTCCCCTCCTTCTTTACCCTTAGCCCCTGGCAACCACTGGTCTCTTCTCCATTTGACTTTGAGAATGTTATATAATTGGAATCATACAGTATAAAATTTTGTGACTGGCTTCTGTCTGTCAGTATAATGTCCTTGAGTTCATCCAGATTGTTATGTGTATGAATGGTTTGTTCCTTGAGTGGGTTAATGGATAAATAGACTGGTACATGTTCTTTTGATCTTGTATAATTGATTGTTCTAAGGACTATGTTCCTCTCAGGTGTTATTGTTTATTTTATGGACCTATTGTTTGGCTGAAAGGTGGACTTTGAGAATCGCTTCAGTTCCAGGTCAGAAAGGTATCTTAAGGCCATAGTCTCAAGTATTCCTCCAGTCTGTGTCAGACCAGTAATTCTGGTCTTTTTGTGAATTTGATTTTTCTACATTTTTCTTCTGCTCCATCAGGGACCCTCTGTTGTGATCTCAGTCAGTGCAGTTGGTAGTGGTAGCTGGCACAATCTAGTTCTTCTGGTCTTGGGGTCATGTAAGCTGTGGTTCCTGTGATCCATTAGTCCTTTGGACTAATTGCTCCCTTAAGTCTTTGGTTTTCTTCACTCTCCTTTCCTCTGGATGGGAAGAGACTAGTAATTATATCTTAGATAGCCACCCTTAAGCTTTTAAGACCCTAGAGAAACTACTCACCAAAGTAGGATGCAGAACATTGTCTTTATGAACTATGTTGTGCCAGTAGACATAGATGACCTGGTCTATGGTCCTTCGCCTTCGAGCCTAGGAACTTTGTATCACGAGGTGTTTTGTTATGTCTAAGAAATTGCCATGACGGTGCTCCTTGTGTGCTCTATTGTCTGTATTAATATACGTGCAGCACCTACAATTATGTATGTAGAAATATCCACCAACAAACCTACATCTGCAGGTGGGGTATGCTCCCTTATATCCCTTCCACCCCCCTTTAGCATAGCGATCTACCTATGTGGAGCCCTGGTGGCGCAGTGGTTAAGAGCTCAGGCTGCTAACCAAAAGGTCAGCAGTTCAAATCCACCAGCCACTCCTTGGAACCCCTATGGGGCAGTTCTACTCTGTCCTGTAGGGTCGCTATGAGTCACAATTGACTCGACAGCAATGAGTTATCTACCTATGCGTCCATTCATCAATTGTTAATACTATTGCTGCAGGATTGTTTATCTTATAGTAATTACTGTAGTTACCCTTTATTCTTGCATTCTTTTCAGTGTCTTCCTTTGCCTTGTTTATGTTGTGGCGACTTCCCCCATATTATGTATTGCCTTTCCCTTCACCAATATTAACACGTGCCTTCTATCTAGTTAGTAATTTTCCCTTCTCACCTCTCCCATCCCTGGTAACCATCAAATAATTTTTTTTGGTGTGTGTAAATCCTTTCTTGGAGCCCTGGTGGCACAGTAGTTAAGTGCTTAGCTGCTAAACGAAAGGTTGGCAGTTCGAATCCACCAACCACTCCTTGGAAACCCTGTGGGGCAGTTTTACTCTGTCCTATAGGGTCGCTATGAGTTAGAACCAACTCGACAGCAATGGGTTAAACCTTTTCTTGTTTTTTTATAGTAGTGATTTCATACAATATTTGTCCTTTTGTGGTTGACTTATTTCACTTAGCATAATGTCCTCCAAGTACATCCATGTAGTGAGATGCTTCACATACTCATCGGTATTATTTATTGTTGTATAGTATTCTGTTGTGTGTATGTACCATAGTTTATCCATTTATCCATTGAGCACTTAGGTTGTTTCCATCTTTTTGCTATTGTGAATAATGCTGCAATGATCTTGGGTGTGCATACATCTATTTATGTCACAGCTCTTATTTCTTTAGGGTATATACCTAGGACTGGGATTGCTAGCTCATACGGTATTTCTATTTCTAGCTTTCTAAGGAAGTGCCATACCATTTTCCATAGTGGTTTTACCATTTTACATCCCCACCAGCAGTACATATGAGTTTCAATCTCCCCACAACCTCGCTAACACTTGTTATTTTCTGTTTTTTGTTTTGTTTTTGATTAGTGCCAGTAATGGGGTGAGATGGTATCTCATTGTAGCTTTGATCTGCATATCTCTAACAGAGCCCTGGTGGCATAGTGGTTAAGCGTTTGGCTGCTAACCAAAAGGCCGGCAGTTGGAATCCGCCTGCTGCTCCTTGGAAACTCTATGGGGCAGTTTTATTTCGTCCTGTAGGGTTGCTATGAGTTGGAATCAACTAGACAGCAATGGGTTTTGGGTTTAACGGCTAATGATTGCGAGCATTTCCTCCTGTGTCTGTTAGCTGCCTGAATGTCTTCTTTGGTAAAGTGTCTGTTCATATCCTTTGCCATTTTTTAATCGGATTATTTGCCTTTTTTGTTGTTGAGGTGTTGAACTATTTTAAAGATTTTAGAGATTAGACCCTTGTTGGATATGTCATAGCCAAATTTTTTTTCGAGAATGGACACGTTCGTCTTGTTCCCAGTCTTAGGGGAAAAGCATTCAGTCCTTTCTAAGTATGATGTTAGATATAGGTTTCTTTCTTTCTTTTTTTTTCCCCCTCTTTAGTAGATGTTGTGTATAGGTTGAGGAAGTTCCCTTCTAGTCCTAGTTTTCTGAGAATTTTTTTAAAAATTATGAATGGCTATTAAATTTCATTGAATGCTTTTTTTTCTTGCATCAGTTGATCTGACCATCTAATTTTTCTTTTTTAGATGGTTAATATGGTGTATTACATTGATTGATTTTTGCATGTTAAAGAAGCCTTGCATTCCTAGAATAAACCCCACTTGATTATGGTGTATTATTATTTTTATATATTTCTGAATTAGATTTCTTAATATTTTGTTGAGAATTTTGCTTCCATATTCATGGGGGCTATTGGTCTATAGTTTTCTTGTATTTTCTTTAAGTAATGGTAGCTTCTGAAAATGAGTTGGGAAGTAGTCTTTTTTTTTTTTTAATTGTGCTTTAGGTAAAAGTTTACAGTGCAAATTAGTTTCTCATTCAACAATTTATACACAAATTGTTTTGTGACATTGGTTGCAATTCCTACGATGTGTCAGCACTCTCCCCATTTCCCTTCCCACCCTGGGTTCCCTGTGGGAAGTAGTCTTTTGTCTTCTATTTTCTGGAAGAGATTGTGTAGAATTGATGTTAATTTTTTTCTCTAAATGTTTGGTAGAATTCACTAGTGAAACCAACCATCTTCTGGATATGGAGATTTCTTTTTCACAAGGTTTTTTAAATTTTTAACTACAAATTGAGTGTCTTTTACAATTATAAGAATATTCAGGTTGTCTAAATCATTTTTAGTGAGTTTGATAGTTTGTGGTTTTCAAGGAATTAGTCCATTTCAACTACATTGTAACATTTATATGCATAGAGTCATTTGCAGCTTTCTTTTACTATAACATTTGTGAGATCTGTTATGATATCTTCTCTTTCATTCTTGACGTGGATAACATGTCTCTTCTCTCTTTCTTTTTTTTGTCACACTGGCTAGAGTTTTATCAATTTCATCAACCTTTCCAAACAATAAGCTTTTTTTTTTATTGTGGTAAATATATATGTAACAAAACATTTGCCATTTCAACATTCTTCACATGTACAATTAAGTGGCATTGTGTTCATTGTGTTGTGCAGTTATCACCATTTTCTGTCAAACAAGCTTCTGGTTTCATTGATTTTTTGCTATTATTTTCAATTTCATAGATTTATGCTTTTGCCTTTATTATTTCCTTTCTTCTGCTTGCTTTGAGTTTCTTTTGCTCTTTCTTAGTTTCTTACGGTAGATGATTAGACTGTTGATTTGCGGTATTTGTTCTTTTAAGCATTTAATGGTATAATGGAAATTATAAAGCACTGATTTAGCTTCATTCCACACATTCTGATATACTGTAATTTATTTTTAAGTTTATAATCTTTTCTAATTTCCCTTGAGACCG